TGGTTTCTCCCCCCCCCCCCCCCCCCGGCCACTAACCAACAAAAATTAATGCAGTGACCAACCTTACAGAACGTGAAATCAGTGCATTAAGACTTCGGTCTGCACCGCGTACTTTCTCGCCTACAACAAACCTATGAGAAATTGACAGCCACAATTACACAGCCGCCACATGTAATTCGTACTGCCTTGTTTAAGCTTTTGAATCTCAGGGGGTACCACCCGCTTTAACAGAAATTAACTACGCGTTTTTCAATGTAAACCGATTATTTCCTTAAACAGCGTTAACCATTTGATCTTTGTAATGGTGAAGCGTTGTGTTCTCTTCGCGGTACGGACTAAATGTTTTAATATTATGTACGCAATGCGTGTCTCATTATGAACAGCGATTATTTCCTTAAACAGCGTTAACTATTTAATCTTTGTAATGGTGAAGTGTAGTGTTTTCTTCGCGGTACGGACTAAATGTTTAAATATTATGTACGCAATACGTGTCTCATTATAAACAGCGATCATTTCCTTAAACAGCGTTAACCAGTTGATCTTTGTAATGGTGAAGTGTGGTGTTTTCTTCGCGGTACGGACTGGATTCTTAAATATTATGTACGCAGCGCGTGTCTCATTATAAACAGCGATTATTTCCTTAAACAGCGTTAACCAGTTAGTCTTTGTAATGGTGAAGAGTTGTGTTTTCTTCGCGGTACGGACTAAATTCCTAAATATTATTTACGCGAGCTTCGTCATTCAAGGGTTACTAACAGATCTTAAGCAACACCAGCGCCTCTGAATAGTTTCTGTTTATTGACAAATACCACGCAGCGTCAAATGACAGAATTAGTAAAGAACGAATACAAACGGGTGTGAAATGACAAGAGTTGTGGCATAATTTAAGTTACTGTCCTGGAATTTACCTCGTGCGACTGGAGAAAATCATGAAAAGCCGGGCTCTCAAGGCAGGGAGTTCTGAACATAAGGCAGAATGCTAATCACCAGTACGATCTAAAAATGTCGATAAATCGAAGGTAAGCAACTTTAATTGCTGTTATTTTTTTTTAAAAAAAAATTGAACATAACAACATGGCGGCTGTTTAAAATTTCGACAGTCGATAATCGATCTGTAATTTATTTCGCAATTTTCGGAGTGCAGTCTGTGTGATGTTAACGAACTGCAATGCGATCTATTTTTATGTATGAGCTAATGGAAATGGATATTTACTTGGAAGTGTTGAAAGAATTTGCTTAGAAAGTCACTTCACTGAACATCCAAACGCGTTGAACCAACACAATTCGTTACGAGCTGCACATATGCCCTTTTCAAACGTAACTGCGGGAGTAAAGTTGCTGAAACTCACAGCAGAGGGCAAGGTCTTCTGGGAAAACACGAGTTCCAGAAACCGCGGGTGCTGATAACACTAATCAAATCGCAAGCTGCCCGTTCCTTCGCCGAACTAACTTCGTAAATACACGCACAGCGCAATAACTGTGTTGCTCATTCATCGTCATTAAAAAGAGTTTCGCTCCGATAAATATTTAGTAATTTGCCCCAGAAACTCTTTTGTCTGCACTCGGCGTTTGCGACCGTTCTTCAATTCTGACCGAATCTCGACATGCAAACATTTCTCAGTTAAAAACACCCCCAAAATACCGATTTTTATTACAATCTGTTCAGATTTATAAATTAAAAAGTGCATATCCGTTTTGAGGAAACTTCCCTGCTTCAAGTCCGAGTTGTAGAGCTTAAAATGGC